CTGTTTGATATATCCTCCGCCTTCGATAGCGTTTGGTGGCCGAGTGTACTCCAGCAGTTGCAAAAGTATGAAGCTCCCAGCAACCTGTACGACCTCTTAAGAAGCTATCTAGAAGACCGCAAATTAATGATAAAAGGTAACTTCTTTGCTGTAGAGGATTCTGTAGAAAGAGGATGCCCACAAGGATCTGTACTAGGTCCAGCCTTGTGGAAACTGGTATTTGACGAGCTGCTGGGAGTACTGGAAGAGCAGCGGTTCCCCGCCACTGCTTACGTAGACGATCTCGCAGTCGTGGTGGCATCGAACAGCAGAGCCAGATTAAAGGAAGAGGCTGAACGGTGCGCCAACCTTGTAGGAGAATGGTGCGAGAGAAAGAAGATGAAGATGGCGGCTTCAAAGACTCAGTCCGTTCTTTTGAGGGGTAAGACTGACAGGGCCCACCCTATCACTCTGAATATACAGAGAGAAACGATACGTCCAAGTGAGGCGGTCACCTATCTTGGGATAAGGACTGGAAGAAAGTTTAACTTCACCCCTCACTTGGACTATCTGAGAAGTAGAGTGGCCCTGGCTCTTAATGGACTGAGTCGCATCGGGGGCGCCTTTTGGGGTCTCAGATACCCAGCCACTTTGGCTATTTATAACGGAGTTATCTTGGGTATCCTGAGATATGCGTCCCCTGCGTGGAGTCAGACTCTCTCGCACCAACAGAAGAAAAGGTTGGCGACGATCCAGCGTATGGCTCTGCTGCGTGTCACTAGGGCGTACCGGTCAGTATCTCATGAGGCGGTACAAGTCTTAGCCGGAAGTATTCCAATTGATCTTCAACTTCGTGAAGACTACTTTCGGCACGAAATGAAGAGAGATGGCTTGGTGGATCTACCGGCTAATCTCCGAGTGAGGATCAGTGAAGACCCAAGCAGATGGAAGAGGATTCTCCGGGAATGCACATTAGAAGAATGGAACCGGCGTTGGGTGACAACGCCAAAAGGATCAACCCTAAGGAAATACTTCCCCACCGTCGGTTCAAGAATGGAAACTACATGGCTCCTCCCGGACTATTGGGTCTCGCAATTCCTCACGGGGCATGGGGGATTCCGAGCAAAGCTTGTTCAACATGGTAAGAACATTGATCCCCTATGCCCAAGTTGTAGGGTACCGGAGACCGCCGAGCACGTCTTATTAGCCTGTACCGCCTATGAGGCATTGAGGGCTAAGTTGCTGAGGGAGACTGGGCTCTATGTCTTATCAGAGCGCGATCTACCTCAGCTAGTGACCAGAGAGAACTACCCGCACTACAAGGCCTTTGTGTACGGGTGGAAAGACATCATTGGCCCAGCCCACTTCTATTTGGGTAGAAGAGAAGAAGCTCCACCACAGAGGATGGAAGAGCCAAGCTAAACAGAAAATCTTATTGTCTCCATTGCAGTATTGGCTAGTTATGCACACACGTCTAGCTATCCAATACTGCAAACACTCGTATTGCCAAACTGGCAGGGCAGAGATTTAAATAAATAATAAAAGTTTACGCCTCATCTATAATTTCTAAACCGGACCATCCTAACCATAGTTTGTTTACCAGTATCAACACCAACCAAGTGTATTACTCAACTGGCATTACGGAGAGAACCCACAGACTACTTTTAGAATTAGACTTCAGACTAGACAATATAATGACAATAGACGACGCTTTATTCTACCAATGAAATAACTCTTTCATAAAAACAGATACGTCTCTTTCTAGGAAAATACAAACTGACGACGACCAATTCGTCAAAAAACACTTATTTACAGAAATGAAATACAAATACCAGGGACACACAACCCTTTATACAGATGCGTCAAAAACAGATAGTGACGTAGGATGTGCAGTAATACTGAAAGACCAGTGCCTCAAATTCAATTTGGCCCAAATAAACAGCGTCTTCACAGGCGAACTATTCGCCATATATCAGGCTTAGTTAATACTAACAGGAAAAAACATAAAAAATGGCCTTATAGTTACAGACTCTTTAAGCTCATTAATGGCCATTGCCGAAGACAAAGCCGACAATGCCATTTGCAGGAAAATCAAAAACTGCCTCTGGGAAATGAAGGAGTTGTCGGACAGAGAAATCGTCATCGTATGGGCACCCTCACATTGTGCCATATCTGGGAACGAAACTGCACACAGAGCTGCGAACCTGGCAAGAAGAAAAACTAATGGAACCACAATGATCAATTTAACGACCACTGCTGACTGGAGATTGGAATGTAAAAAAATCCTAAATGAAAAATGGCTATTCAAGTGGAACCAATCTACGAATAAATTGCAAGAAATCAAAAAACATACCAAACCGTGGACGACCTCTTTCAGAAAGAACAGGAAAGAAGAAACAATTTTAACTCGGCTTAGAATTGGACATGCAGCCTTTACCCATGGCTACTTAATGAGAGGCCTGGAACCACCATTTTGTAAAACCTGCAACACACCACTTACACTGAAACACATTGTAACAACTTGCAGACTATACTCTGACACCAGAACAAAACATAATATACCTTCCAACATAGCTGAAGCACTGACGAAGAAAAGATACAAAAAGTGGTTGAATTTGATTCCACACCTAATTTGATTACATCTAAAGCCGTTAATGACCCGATCGGGTAGATGCGGAATGTAACAATAAATAAATAAATAAAAAATGTCCAAATCTTTTGACCAATAGAAAGTGTTGAAACTACCTGAACAAATGGAATCGCTGGCCACCTTTCAATTAAACATTGATTTACACGAACCAATTGTTCACAATAAAGGTCTGCATTCACAGTTTGTCCAGGTTTCAGTACTTAAAAATGAGCAACGCCGTGAATATTCCACCAAACACACAAACGAGCCTTATGTTCTTTTCGAGAGAGCCACTACCTTTTGCATTTTGGATTATCATACAGAACCCATTTTTCATCTCCAGTGATCAAGCAATAAAAAAAACGCCTTTGTATTGTGCCGTTGAAGCAATAAGTTGCTTGTGGTAGTTTTCCAATCTGCTGCAAATGTTCTTGGATGGTCCACCAAGGTTGGTTTAGACTGTTTGAAAATTCCTTTGTTGTCTGACAAGGATTCCTATTTGGATATGCGACCGATATGACCGACCGATCGGAAAGATTAAAATTATCAAATTGGAACTTCAAAAACCACCTTTGGTATTCACGAACGTCTGATGCATTCGGATTAACATCACTAATGATTTTGGTAGCAACTGTTGCGTTACAACCATCGCGAAACTCAAAAGGCATGCAATGCCAGATATGCACCTCTTCTGGTATTTGGTTGGCCATCTCACCAATAATTGAGAAGACGAAATTTTAGTATAACAATTTGCAACTAAAGAAATCACTTTAAAGTGTCTTTTCCATGACATAGATGTACTCAATGAACTAATAAATAATAATCAAACAGTGATATTCTCAGAAACGACATTACTTTACGGTTCTCCTAATATAATCTTGATTAATTCAAAATGGACTAGAAGAAGGTAAAACATCATAACTATACACTTATACATCATAGAATAAGGTATATAGTGCTGAAGTCACCAACCCCATTCCACCTGAGAAGATTGTCATTTGCGTAGAACGGATCCTGTGAGTTAAGTCGGAATGACATTCCGAGGCACTATTGATATTCGTGGAAGGTTAAGATTAATGTACTGTACTGATGGGAGTGACTGGTGGATTATCTGAAATCCGGAAATCAAATCTCCAATCACGATAAGTGGAGGGGAACCTGATGTAAATACACTATTTAATTATAGAAAAAATAATTAATTAAAAACAGTTGTGTATAGTTGTCAGTTATTTTTCCTTGTTTTTTCAATAAATTTACTATCGTTAAAATATTTTTCCTTACTTTTTGTAAGCAGTCGACTTAACTTTTTCCAACTTTTGTCAAAACGTAGAATCAAATTATTGATATCAATAATATCGAATTATGAAATTGTTGAGGTTCTAAAAAAACTTATATCGACGGGTTACTGAGAGAATTCCTAGATTTAAAAAAAATACTTAAAATTTTGATGGATTTTGCCTCTAGGAAATCAGAAAGTTGTGTGCTATAAATTATCCATATATAAATGGATAATTTATATTTGTATAAAGGTTGTTATTAATCGACAAATTAGGTTGAAATTCACAAAAACATTCTTGAAAGTTTAGCTCAATCAAAAATGTACATTGTGACTTATTGCAATCTGCCAACGTCTTTAGCTGTTTTATTTGATAGAATTGTAACTCCATTTTGTAATATAATGAGATATTTAAGAGAAATGTTAGTAATTCTTCAATAGTTTAAAACATATTGGTGCATTTTAATAGGGTCATTTTATGTTTTAAATATTTTTGGGGGGCTAAACAAAATTTTTTTTTTAAATAAAAAAAAATATTTGAGCCTCTCATCTCTTTGTTAACAATCAGCAAATGTGCTGAAAATTCAAGACATAAATGACATGTCAGGCATGGGGAAGGACAGAACTCACCAGCACCTCTTCCCAGACTTGTTTCAATTACTTCGTTTTGTTATAAGGAATGAGATCTCTCATCCAGGGCCTTTTTGGTCTCCTATTCATGTTCTGGGTTATGTCAGCTGTGGCTATGTCTCTTATTAATCTGTTGTGATGTCCTTTTAAATTAGTAAAACATCATTTTTAACGGGTCGTTATGTGTTTTGAAATGTTAGATTGATTTTTTTATAAAGTAAAGAAAATAAAAAATATCTACATTTTTTGCTTTTTTTCTTTCTATATTACGATAATATCGAATCTATTGTTGCGATACAATATTAGGCGATATCGAAAGAAAAATATCGATATCGTATTATTGCGACACCCCTAAAAAACGGTGTCCGCGTGCAGGAGATTTGGGTTGGGGCCTCTGTTATAGGCCCTTGTAATTTTGAAATTAATCAGGAACATTGATTAGCAAACCATCACTTTTTTATATTGCACTGATTACTGTTTGCTTTTTCACAATGATTCCATCACCTCGAACTTAGACCACAAGGCTATGTACTCCAGGATTTGACCTGATTTTTGCCAATACGTTATCGGGATAACAAAGTTCTGGATCAGATACGGCATTAACATCAAAATTTGGAGAGAATGATGGTAGTTCTGCGAATCCTTATACATTGTTAGTAGCGAGATCGTTGTTTTGACGGAGAGGCAGCAACACGCTGTGTAAAACAAGATGGTATAAATGGCTGGGGTGGACGTCATGCGAAATGGTTTAACGCCTGAAATAAATTAATAACAATAAGAATCAGTTTACTATGTTTTAAATAATTACTGGTGTGATTTTAATTTAGAAAATTGACTAGACCAGAGGTAATTTATATTACAAATAAAAAAATACTGACCTTCCTCGGACATACTGTAAGGGAATCTTCCCAGTATTCTGAGTAACAACAATATAGGCCTGATTTGTTTGAAGTAAGAGTTAGATGGACGCTTACGTGCAAAAGCGCCTGTCCACCGTGAACCATCCATCCATGCCTAAAAATAAGGAAAAAAAAGTAATAGATTACTGGTTCAAGTTAAAAGAAAAAAAGATAAAATAAAACTACATATTCATAATAGAATATTATTGGAAGTTTTGTCATGTTTGATCCAGAACTTTCTTATCACGCACATGTGTTGGAAAAAGTCATGAAGTACATTTCCTTGTGATCTGAATGAGGTGTAAGCATAATTGTAGACATCGTAAAAAAAATAAATAAAAGATCACACCAAACATAACACATCTCACATCAACTGAGAACATAATAAAACAGAGATGGTTCATTACTCCAAAACAGTTTAGTATAAACTGAATTGAAATTAGGTTTGTCTTCTGTTAGATGATCAGGTAAAATTTATCGTTGACAAATGTTGACAAGATCTTGTTGAAGTCATGATAACGCCTAAAATGATTAAACTTTGATTGGTTAGCTACTTACATTTTTTTTCTTTTTTAAAGAGTTGAGGCTTTATTTGAGAATCTTCCAATGTTCTATTCTGATCATTATTATACATTTATTATTATGTTTACATATTTTTTTACATAGGAAGCTACGCCGATTTACGATTGATTTTCATTTAAGGAGATACATTGAAACAGTGATGTTGAATGTTCAGAACACTTAAAATATGGTTGAATTTGAGACTGCCTATATCAAAGGATCTCCAAACATTAGCCCCAATAGCAACATTGAGACATCGATTCAGTTTCACGGGCAACATTGAGACCTCCACCCAAGTCCCGCGGGTTATGACTTGTGATAAAAAAAAAATCTTGTTCTAAATGACACTTCAGCTGTCAAATGAGTTATTTATGAGAATTTCAATTGCAATGCTCGAAATCTCAATAGTCCATCTGGTTGAGTCAGATAGTAAAATTATTAGATTTTAATAATTTTTTTCATTAATACTCATTGCTTGTAAATAAAGGAAAACATTTTTTTTCTTACATCCAAATTTTTTAATTTCCGAAAGTTTATAAAATAAATACCTGATGTTTAGATTTATACATTAAATTGTTTCTAAGAAAATAACTATTCCGGGCAGCCATTGTTAATCTATCAACACCATAATTCATTATGGCGTTCCTTATATGGGTTTCAGATGATCTGAAAGTGTAACGTTTGTTCATGTTCACGCCTTGTCGACCCTTTACAGGAAAAGACAATGAATCTAGATCAATACTGCCTTTACTGTAGAACAGCTATAGCGTAACTTTTAATATTATATTATACCAAAATAATTAAAGGGGCTCTTGAAACCGAGTAGCATTATAATTATATGAAGTAATTGTTTTATATTAAAAATAAAAAAAATGTTTTTTCTATAGCATTACAGATCATGTAGATCTTTTGCCATCTTATTCAGCCTTTTCAATCTCTGGCTATTTATTTTCAAATTACATTAATTTAATTAAAATAAATTCCTAAAATTGATGATGTTTGGAGGTTCACTCTGATGAAGCTTATGCCTGTCTAACTTCTATATATTTTTTATTATTCACTCCTCTTCTTCGCCTTTTAGACTTAAATGGATTTTTTCTCGGACCAGAGGTAAAGATGCGAGAATTATGGTAGAATGTCTAATTTTGATCTGTGTGAATCATCTTAATCTTGTAGGACCCTAGGAATTAATATTACATCCATGTACGTCACAAAAATAATTAATTGAAACCGTTCAAAATTGTCAGGCACGACGAGAAATATTGTGTGATTTTTCTAGGGTAACTTTTGGTAAATAAAATACTCATATATATTTTTTATGTCGAAGGAAATGCTGAAAAGGATAGTGGCAGCCAACCGTTGCTGTCTTCAGGAGGCAGATCAGGAACTAATTAATTACAAGGCAAACAAAGACAAGATTATATAAAACTGGGATTAGCCCGCTGTTGACCTATGCCTTACAAACATGGATAATGGCAAAGGCTGGTGAAAATAGCCTCCTTATATTCGAAAGTAAAATTTTGGGACGAATATACGGACGGCTATGTGAAAGAAGGAGAAGTTTTGAGGAGATGAAGAAACCGCGAGTTTTACACTCTGAATAATGAATTATATGTCGTCGACTTCATAAAACTTGCAAAGTTAAGTTGGGCCGGCCATGTGATTCGGATGGAGGAGGGTGATATTCCTAAAAGAGACCTTGAGGATAGGATTGACCGCACCAGGAGGAGAGGCAGACCTAGGCTAAGATGGATGGATGGCGTGGCGGCTAGCTCCAGGATACTACTAGGAGTACCGATCTGGAAGGCAGAGTCAATGGATCGAGTTGGATGGCGGAAGCTCCAAGAGGAGGCAAAGACGTGGTTCTTGGTTGTAGCGCCGATCCGGACCACATCCAGGTTGTAGCGCCAACTAGGTAGATAGATATATTTTCAACATTTGAACGGATTTCAGGAACGGTTGGGTTTGGTTGGGTTGGGTAAAGGGTGGGAAAAATGTTTTCAAAAGTTAAATTAAACTTGTTGGAATCATAATTATCTTTATAATATACATTATAGGAAATATTATAAATTACATCAAAAAGTTTTAACTTCAATTTATTCTCGGCAGCCCTATGTGTATGTGGCTTGTATTAGATCCTAGAAATAATATGATAGGGTACACGTGGCGATAGTTCCAATAGAGGTTATTTTAGATGCCAATTACCCTACAGGTTAGAGACAACAACAAAATTAAATAAATAAATAATTTACTAAACTATACCTATTACCAACAACTGAGAAAAATTATCTTACAATATTGTTTCTATTATATTTTACCTGAGTATACACAAACAAAGCGCTCTTTGTAATTTTTTTTTTTTTTTTTTGTTTAATTACTTTCCACCTCATAAAAATAAAACTAATATGACTAAAATGAATAATGAAATAAGAACAATAAAATAAATTTAGTTCACCTTTTGCTTTTCTAAACTTTTAAAAACATACTAAATAAAACATTTTACTATAAAACCATAGAACATTAGTGAAAATAACCGTTGATGATAACAATTTATAAAAATTCCAATAACCACTTTCCTTTGAAACATTATTTCCTCAAGACCACATGAGTTACATTATGCCTAACTTAAAATAATCTATATTTCTGTGATTAATAGTGTAATTTTTAGTATATATTTCAACAAAAATAATGGTAATTAATTGAGAAAAAAAGGAAAATTTTAACATATAATTATAAAATCATACATTAGCTATTTTATTAAAATATTAAAATTATCTGTAATCCATATTAATATAGATCTATATTAAATGCTGTTGTGAAATGATATTTTATAGAAAAGTAGTAAATGATTTTCCATTAATTTTGATCCTTTTCACTTTTTCTTTACTTATTAAAATAAAAAATAAAAAAGCGTTCTTACAATATTTTTAAATTATAAGAGAAGCACATCTATCAGGTACAAAGAAATAAAAAACATAAAATGTCAAATTCTAAATATGTTATAACTAGGAGAACACTCAAAGAAAGGATATTAAATTGAGTGGAAAGGTGGTTTTACTGAGAATTGAGAAAAAAAAAAAAACTGTACCATTACAACCCATGAAGGTTTTTAATATCAGTACTTAGTAAGGAAGTACTGCTTCATAATCCAAATGGGTCTCTCAATCCCATGGTTATCCATGGCTGACAAAACAGAATAAATAAATATATATGCCACAACTGGACACTTGAGAACAGTACCGTACTCATTTAGTTAATCCACTCCCTAAGAAATGAAGAAAATTAAAAAAAAAAATAATGATAATAATTTTCACACCTATATACGATCAAATATGAGTTAATTTTAAAATACAATTAATTAATCATAAATTTAATTCATATCAGAGATTTTCTTCATTTGTATTTCTTAGCTCATTGTAAATAAACTGTTGTTATACTTCGCCAGCTTAAAATTTGCTTCCACCTGTTGGTGGGTGTTTATTTTAAATAAATCATAAATTAACTCTAAAAAGAAAATCAAACCATACATAAAGGAGTAGTTTAAAAATCTGTGAAAGATATTTTTTTTTCCAACATTTTATTAATGACTTATTTATAGGTCCACAATATTGATTCTTAGTGTGTTATAATATCTGAATTTTCAACACTATGTTTTATAAAAAGACCAGTGGTGTACCTTAACTTTGTTTTTATATATATCTTTAAAACAATGAAATAAAGAAACATTGAAGCAATGACATGTAAAATTAAAATTAATTGAGCCCTAATAATATTTGTATGATCACTGCTTAAGATTGTAGATAAACAGCTTGATTAGGTGTTGAAAACATTTCAAAAATATTTACAATGTTTCTTTTTGAAGAATTGGGATTTACTAAACTTTTGCACTAATCTAATAATAGATACATAAATTAATATAAACATAATTTAAATATACTTTATTCAACTACTTATACTGTTAAATAATTAAAAATTGACATGATCATAGTTTAGGTGCCTTCTATTTTTAATATAGCACACATTCAAAACCTAATTACAGGATTTTAAAAACACTGTCTAATTAGTTATCCAATCCAACAAAAATTATTTCCTCGTAGCGAAAGAAAAGTTAATGGACTACTCTTCTAATCCACATTTAGTTTGAAAAGTTAATAAATACTGTAATTGCAGTCCTAAAACTAACTAAACACTGTTGATGGAATAACGGTAATTTTGTACTATACAAAAATCACAATGGCTTACATCTATCAAATGATATATATAACCAATCTCAATAAATTAATTTCTTTTATTAACAAAAATAAATTTCTGTTAATGTATAAATAAAATATTTAAATCACAGAGACATTCCAACAGCCATTAGAAAATACGTTTTCACAGATATATTAATAAAAATGTATATTTTCCTAATCATGCTAATTTGTTACATAAAATAGAGGAAAATTAAATAAAACAAGACCGAGCATATGAATGTAAAATTAAAATAACACCTAATTTTCTACTTTTTCTGTATTCTGGTCCAAACTCCTCAATAAATAACTAAGAATTTCACCATTTTTACTATGATAATTAGTAATATGTTTTTTCAAATTTCCACTCTGAACAGTTCGATAACCACAATATGGACATTGATGAGGTTTCTCTTTTGTATGAAGAGCCATGATGTGTAATCTTAGATTCCCACTCTGTACAGCTCTGAACTTACAATAAGGGCACTGAAGTGGCTTTTCTTTAGTATGATGAGCCATGATGTGTGTTTTCAAATTACCAGCTTGAACACATTTATAATCACAATGCGGACACTGCTGGGGTTTCTCATGAGTATGATGGGTCATAACATGTGTTCTGATCTGGACAAATTGAACGGCTCTGTATTCACAGTGAGGGCATTGGTGGGGCTTTTCGTGGGTATGATGAGCCATGACGTGTGTTTTCACTTGTGCAGCCTGAACAGCTTTATAATCACAAAAGGGGCATTGGAAGGGTTTCTCTTTAGTGTGCTGTGACATAATGTGTGTTTTTAAATTGCCAGGTTGAACAGCTTTATACTCACAATGTGGGCATTGATGAGGTTTCTCTTTAGTATGATGGACCATAATGTGTGTTCGTAAGTTACCAGCTTGGACTGTCCTATATTCACATTGCGGGCACTGTAAAGGTTTTTCTTTTGTATGATGTACCATTATATGAGTTTTTAAATTTCCAGGCTGTACAGCTCTATAATCACAATGAGGACAATGATGTGGCTTCTCCATTGTATGATGTGACATAATGTGTGTTTTGACTTGGACTATTTGAGCAGCCTTATAATCGCAGTAGGGGCATTGGTGCGGTTTTTCCTTGGTATGATGAACCAATATGTGAGTCTTTAAGTTTCCAGTATGTGCAGTACTATAGTCACACTGAGGACATTTGTAGGGTTTTTCTTTAGTATGATGGGACATTATGTGAAATTTAAGATTGCCAGCTTGAACAGCTCGGTATTCACAATGTGGACATTTATGAGGCTTTTCCTTAGTATGAAGGGCCATTATATGTGTTTTTAAATTGACAGCATGAGCTGCAGTGTACTCGCAATGGGGACACTGATGGGGTTTTTCAAGAGTGTGATGAATGCGAATGTGATTTTTTAACTGCACTGCCAGAGCAGCACAATATTCACAGTATGGGCAGACATGTGGCTTCTCTTTTGTATGATGGATTATAATATGTGTTTTTAAGTTGCCAGGTAGGACAGTAGAATATTCACAATGTGGGCACTTGTGGGGTTTTTCTTTTGTATGGTGAACCATAATGTGAGTTTTTAAGTTTGCTCTGTAGGCAGAACTATATTCACAATCATTACAATGAAAAGGTTTCTCTTTGGAATGATGAGCAATAATGTGAGTTTTCAAGTTCCCTGCTATAGCACTTTTATATTCGCAATGTGAACACTGATAAGGTTTCTCATTAGTATGATGTGTCATTATGTGTGTTTTGATTTGAACTAATTGTACAGCTCTATATTCACAATGAGGGCACTGGTGAGGTTTTTCTTTAGTATGATGGATCATAATGTGAGTTCGTAAATTTCCAGGTTGTACGGCCCCATATTCACAGTGAGGACATTGGTGAGGCTTTTCTTTTGTATGGTGTGACATAACATGCGTTTTGACCTGTACAACTTGCCTCGCCCTATACTCACAATGGGGACATTTATGTGGTCTTTCCTTTGTGTGATGAACCATAATATGTGTTTTTAGATTTCCAGATTGTGCAGTCCTATACTCACAATGAGGACATTGATATGGTTTTAAATGCATATGGTGGGCCATTATGTGAATCTTTAAGTTCCCTGTTTGAACACATTTATATTCACAATATGGACAGTGAAATGGTTTTTGTTTAGTGTGATGAGCCATTATGTGTGTTTTTAAATTTGCAGCATGCACAACTCTGTAATCACAATGAGGACACTTAAATGGTTTCTTCTTTTTATGTTGTCCCAATATATGAGTCTTCAAATTTCCCTTAAAGGAAGAAATATATCTGCAATGTGGGCATTTAAATACGCCTACTTTTCTAGAACGTTTTCGTAAATGTAATACTTTAATGTGAGATTTGAATGCATAAAAGTTTTTAAATCTTCTCCCACAATGGTAACATGAATACTTTTTACCTAGAACAAAAAAAAAATTAACAATTGTAATTATTAGTAAAAAACAATTTTAGATATTTATCAAATAAAACACACAACTATAACATAAAATAAAGATATTAAAGAAATTTAAAATTACAGATATTAAAATTTATGTCACTCTAAAATTTTTATTATTTACTTTTTTCGGATACATCACATTATATATCTTTTGTTTGTGGTTAGTAATTAAATTAATATGTTTATGATAATAAACAAATGATTTGTTAATAAGATACACACACCAAACATTTTTAATAAACTTTAAAGCATTTTTATATCAATAATAAGAGAAGTTGTCTAAATGGGTGTTTAAATCTCAGTCTACCAGGTATTTTCCATAAAAGAACTAATCAAAAACCTCATAAATCATTCCTATTCAGTCCCAACCTCAACTGTTTCTTGACAACTCATTCCTATTCCCTTGTATAGATCTGTACCTTAAATCCCCTGCTTCTCGACCAACATTCATAAACCTCTACATTCTCACCATTTTATCTTAGAGCTTGCATTCAAACCCCATCCACACTTACTAACATCTACATGCCTCTAAAAGATCTCATTCCTCTTTCACACCGCTCACATACTGCATACTGCATCCCCTGTTCCACTCTTAACTGCCATTCATTTCACAATGAAAAAATAAAAATCTCCCAAGTCCATATTAATAATCTATTTCCTCCTGAAACTATTCTGTTTAAAAATTCTTTGAATACTCTTTATCCCCAAAACTCTAGTTTACGGCATAATTGTTTTATTTGTATTACTTAATATTTTATTTCATTACATTTACTTTAAAATTTCCTATATTTTTCTATATCTTATAAATTAAAAATTATTCATAAAGTAATAATTATTTTCATTTTTAATTACTTTTATATACTAGTCTAATTTACCAAATATTTTCATGCATTGTCATACTGTATAGAATAGAATAGAAAATAATTTTATGTATATTATCCTGTTTAATTAATGTTTTAAATATGTACTATAGATCCTATAGATGTATTTTTAATTATTGAACTTTTCATTCTATTATTCATGTTTCAGTGCAGATTCATGATTTTCAGTACACATTGATTTATCATTAATGTTTTTTATTATTTTCTTATTAATATGTTTTCACTTTTTCTTACTTATCAGATGATACCTTGTCTTTACTTAACATTAATGAAGGCCTACAACTCACACTGAAACCTTGATATACAAGAAAATTTCTGACTGTACTTCTTTTTTTTCATATTTGAACGCACCCCCAACCAACCATAACTAATTGATCTGCTATTAACAATATCACCACCCTTGTTTACTTTGTATATAGCAATTTTCAATTAATAAGTTGTTATAATTCTTTTTTAAATGAATAGTAAATTCTGAAAATTTTGTTTACATGAACTAAATATTAAATCAACGAATTGGATATCGTTTCTTTCCAGGCTCTTTTGAATTTACTTAATAAAAATCATTTTGAATATTCCACCCTCCCACCCAATTGAAATAAAGAACAATAAGAGTCAAAACAAAGACAAGTTTTAGGAGGGAGGAAAAAAAAAAAGAAGACATATACAGCAGAATAATTAATTTTACAGAGTTATCTATTTAAATATAAATTCAATTCCATACTAGCATAGAATTCCAAAACCAAAAAGTTGAAAATGGATGTGGCTGTTTTTGGAATTATATATCTCATAAATATAATTTCTCAATGTTTCTTATTAAATAACAGTAATATTATCAACAATGATATTGAAGTTTCTAATACAAGATTGACTGAAACAAACCTATATTACTTGGTAATATTTTTATGTAGAAGAAAATAAAATAACCCTATAATATTTTGAAATAAAAATAACTAAAAAAGTGTTTCTACTCAACTCATTACAAATATTTTTTGTACGAGTAATTTACAATTTGTGCATATCATTAGATAGTTGTGATTTTCAAAAAGAATTTCTAATTTTCTAAAAAAAAATGTGAATATCTAAATAATTTTTAATGTGATTATGAATGATTAGAAAAACAAATAAACATGATATTCAGACTACACAAAGAAATCAATAAATTATGACTACTAATAAAGAAATGATAAAAGTTTTTACCATTATCCAAAAGTAGATTACTCTCGATAAATAAGTTGTGCTCTGGTTTTACTATAACTAAAAAATACAACATTTAAAGGCACTGAAACACACAATTACAACAAAGGAAAGCTATGATACTTACAGGTTGGCTCTTCTGGTTCATCTAATAATAGGCACTCTTCTGAAAAATCTATAAAGGTCATAAATAAATCAAAAAGAATGATGGCATAAAAGTGTTACTAAATCAAGAAACTACACAAGGCAAAATTATTGATAATTTTGCGAATAAAAAGTCAGTAGTACTGTGATTTTAATTGAATAAATAAAACATCCATTAATTTTAAGCTATGTTTTCAATTGATAAAAAATATAAAAACTGATAAAAAATCATGAAATGTTAACCTTATTTTTCCAAACTATCCTCAAATTTGTACACTGCTAATATTTTCAAACAGCATTTATGTTTCTAATGTTCATTGTTTCGATAAAAAAAAGGAAACATCAACTCGCATCACTACTTCTTCTTAGATAATATGAAATTTTTATAAATATTGACAGTAAAGCTAAACATGACTATTTTCATTTTGTGATGTTTCTATTCTGTAATAATCAAAAATATCATACTTACTAGATGTCGAAGCACTGTTATCAAATTCTTGTTTTATTTCTGTTTTTATGCTGCTGTGATCAAAATCATTATCTGAAATAAAATATAAACATTAGTAAAAATAATTAAAAAATTAATACTAAGGTAAAGGAAAAGCACATTTTATTCAATGAGCTCCCTCTGGTTCGTTAATCCTATGAAATTAAATTCGCTAAAATTGAAATAAAAAACCTGGGGTGTTATTTCCGATAGTGACATAGAAGCAATTGGAGGATCATCATCCTCAGTAGGGAATCAAATAAGAAATTTCCCAAAAGGATAATAACTACTATTAGTAATGATTTAAGAATGTATTTTTTTTAAATAAATTAAATGATTTAATAAAAATTGTGATTGCCTTACAATTATTTTCAAAAGTTAAAAGTTATGAAATACCTATTAAAATAGAAACACTGGCAATTAAAATATTATTGTAAATTGATAGCTCTACAAATCATTAACGAACAAATCATTCCTCAACAGTAGTCACCAGGATTTCCAGTTCTGTATGGCAACCATTTCGTTTTGAATACTAATATTTCTTCAATCATTGTCGTGTTTAGACTAAACCATTCCCTCCAGAGTCGATGGCCCACACACCCTCTTCTAATAACTTTTATTTCTCTCCTCTTCTTAAAAACGATGTGAGTGAAAGTATAATTGAAAAATTGTAGATCATATAAAATTAAACTTGTTTTGTCTGTTCCATATTTTTCCCTTGTTCTCTGCTTCCAAAGTCCCTTCAAATTGAATGCAATAAAAATATGTTTGCTTCCAAAAATTCATTACCCAATAAAATTGTGCCCAACTCCAAAATTTTGTTGGCCCAAACTGTGCCATATAGCCCTGGGCACCCATGAAAATATATGAAACTATTTAGATTATTATATTTGCTTTGTGTTCATGATGACATTTTTAAGCTAAAACCTTAGCTATTTAAATATAGAGCACTCTTTAGCTTTGACTGATAGTCTAGTATTAAACTTCATCTGGATTATCATAAAGAGACAAGCATTGCCCACCATTAGCCACTAGTGGATCCAGTCGGGGGGAGCCCCCTCACCCTCTTTGGAGTCTGCAAAAAAAGTACCAAAGCGCAGCTCTGGACACAAAAAAGAGATATGTAGGAAAAATTCATCCTCATAGATGCGGGGCTGGGTGGCCGAATGGGCTAAAGCGTGTGCACAGCACCGCGAGTTGCCTGGCAACCAGATTATAGATTTAAAAAGTACGAGTTCGCGTCACGGTGCCTGAGGGGATTTTAAATTCCTCGCCCTCCCGTATAGCCTAAAAGGCGAAAAAAAAAAAAAAAAAAAATCCTCATAGACGATTTTTTTAATGTAATATAAAAAAAATTATTATTGTGACCAGCGCTAGAGAATTCTGTCAGGGGGCGCGGTCTCCCTTGGATGTTTGAAAAAGGGCCATAAAACGCCTATTTAAAGAAAAGATAAATATGGGAAGAATTCATCATCTAATACGAATTTTCTAATGTGATATAAAACAAATTGTTATCATGACTAGTAATAGCGGATCCAGCCCGGAGACGCGCCCTTCTCTCCCCAGGATGGTGGCGGAAAAGTTCCAAAAAGCAGCTATTTAAAGTAAAGAGAAATATAGAAAATATTCATCCTCATAGAAAAATTTTCTAATGTAATATAAAAAAAAAGTTATTACCGTAACCAGCACTAGTGATTTCTACCAGGAGACGCGTTCCCCTTTGGATGATGGAAAAAT